CCCAAGACAAGAAAGTAGAGAAAATTTTAGTTAAACACTTATTCTTGCTTTTTTTAGGGACAAAGTATGCAGTAATATAGATTTTTAATGTGAAAGTAAATACTCCGACTAAAACTTTAACCTCTATGTTCGGGTCACACTGACTTGGCAACAGAAACGAGAGATGCTTGTAAAAACTTATCCAGTTTGATCTACAAGGGGATCTGAATGTAATAAATTTTATGAACAAGAAAAAATAACCTAAAGATGGACCTGTCTTTTACTAGATAAGAACACAGAACAATAATTACAGTAGAAGTGCTCAGTAGGCGTGAATAGGCGTGACACTTGTGCCAACTGTACGCGCAGTTCCACATACTTGAGCTTAGTAAGTCGTTTTCGCTTGTATGTTATGGTAGTATCAATTACCTCGTGCAAGACCTCGAAAATCGTAGAAAAGTGCCTTATTTACGACTCTGGAGCAACGATATTATACTGCTCACTGTGTCAGGGTGCAAAAATGATAGCCGCACTTGTAATATTTTATTTAATTTTAATGAATTTTTAGATTTCTGTTTATCGTAATATTTTTTTATTACAGAAACGAATGTAAACCTTATACCGCTGCAATATAGTACATTCTTTTTTTGAAAAAATAAGTAAGCATCTCGAATTTTCTACGTTCGTCGTCATTCAGCTATTGACCGCTAGATGGCAGCACATTGATTGAAATTTCAATATAAAATCAAAAATAAAAATCATAATTTGAAATAATAGGTATTGAACTTTCAATGATATGCCAACAAATTTAAATTACGTTAACAGTCAACAATGTTTTACTTTTTTTAATTCAAAAATTTTTTTTTTTATACAGTTGCCTAAAACGTGATATTTTTTGTACTACAAATCGTGCGGAAAGTTGGATTTTTCGCACTAGTGCTTTTTACTGTTCTATCTATTTTTTAATTTACTGTTGTTTCAAGTCTTAAACATAGAACTAAAGAGGTTGTATATTTATTTAATATTTATGTGCTTTGTGACGTAAGTCATTCGTCATTAAAACTGATATTTACTTACAAACATGTTATTTGTTTAAATTGCATAGGTGTTTTATAAAAACAACGGGCTACATTTAAAAATACCAAAATATTTTCCATAATGATGGCTGATTGAGTATTAACAATGACCGGAGGTGAGTATTACGCGAGAACACTGCGCGCCACTAAAATAGTAATTTTAATGTGGCTGAATACTGGCAACAGTTGCCATTGTACGAATTTTTATGAGACAAAGAAATAAAATGAGTTTTTTTTAAATACTGTTTTATTTTACTTTCAATGTAGTTTTTTCGCAAATATATTAAAAAACGTCGTTTGATACACGTGCGGATTTGTCATTTTCACTTGTCTCGAGTCTTGACTCTCGAGACTCGTGAATAATGACTAACTTTCCGCACTTGTATCAGAAATAACTATATTTAAAGGCTAAACAAATTATACTTAAAATCGTGAAGTTTCATTTATAGAATACTACGGCAAATTCCCCTGTGAAGAACGAGTAAGAAACTCTCGAGGTAGGTAGCTCTTTACAAATGTTCACGTTTATCATTTGAAATATTGATTTTCAAATACAATAAATTAAACGGGCGCAGTGGCAGTGCCCCACAGATCTTTGTAATTTAAAGCTCTGACTGGTACTGCAACTGTTATGGACAGCCGTGCCGCTTGTTAGTCCCATCACTGGGTATCATAAAAAAAGCTAAAAGAGCGAAACGTATCACTACCATGGATTTTTGACATTCAAGTACATAAAAGCAGCGTAATAAACCTTTTGTGCAAAGTTTTTGTTGTACGATGGTTTTAAATCTCGTAAAAGGCAAAAATTTTTTATCTCGACGGGAATTGTATTATGGGAATTATTTTATTATAAAATTAAAGGAATTTAGTTTTATTTTATTAAAGTAGGAAAAATCAGTACTTTCGTTTAAAATTTTTGAAATGTACAAAGAAAAAAAATATATTAGGTATTATTTTTAGAGTCCATACACGAAAAAAACCTAAATGGAAATTACCAAGCTCAAATACCTTTGAGCTATTCGAGTTTTATAGAAGTTGGCGATTAGGTAAAGTTCCTTTAAAAAGTGTACACGTCGATATTTAATACGGACTGAAAAAATAGGATTCGGTTGCTAATGAGAAGTGAGCAAATCCAAAGAAAATGTACCTGCATTTCTATTTAAAACACGTAAGAGAATAATGACAATGCAAAAAAAACGTATACTTAAATTGTGAATTTCAATTTAAACTCATTACAATTATGAAAAAATATTTGTAGCGACTGCTGCGATTCTTAAATAAATATAAAATAAAGTTTCTTTTTTTTTTCAATATTTTCACCTACTACCGTAAAACTGGAATGTCTCATAAAGCTTGTATTAAAAAAAAAATGTTCACGGTTCTTACCTTAAACTATTTTTTCCATTCTCTAGGTTCTTACACTGTTCTGACTTTTTGATTAATACAAAAATCACTTGTCAGCTAATCTGTATGAATTGCCTATCAAAGCTAATCTTTGTAAATAGAGCGCCCTTAATATTAGTAGGTATATTTTTCCTTCTTTTTTCTGTTAAAACGGTATCATAATTTATCAGTGTATTGCCTTGTGCTAGCGATACTACACGTAAAGACAAACACGTACTAATAGAAACTTTATTTGTATTGATGACTTCATGCGAACATGATCCTACCATAATTAATGAAATACATCAGTGAGGTAAGGCCAACCAAGTGAACTGTTTCCCAGTTGCATCAACAAAGTCAGAATCAATAAACACTTGATTAAACTATTGTCAAAGCTGGCTATTTTCCCAGAGGACGTAGTAATATATATTGCATTGGTAAAGTTCATTTGTAGTAGGAATTATAAACTCATATTCTAATATAATTTTAGGTACTTAATATAAAATACTTAATATAATTTTGCTGACGTGCAGTTGATACTAACGGAAAAATGGCGTTTTATTACGACGTCGATGAGTCTGTACGTATGTTACCGCGGCAATGTTATTTATTTCATTGCGGTAGAACAGTGGAAAACCAGACCTGAAACTCACTGTGAATTACTTCAGGAGAACCAAATTGTTTTCCTTGCAGATATTTGCCCAAATTGCGAAAGAAGTGGTAGTGGGTAGGTGCCAAATCACTTAGGTAAGTATTAAATGGCGAAGAATTTCGATTGCTGATTTGTAACTTCAGTAAGGTGGAGATGGTTTATTTGGAAGCGAGTTAGCGTTATTGTATGGAAACGGAAATGGTGAAGCTCGACTGACGTAATTATTTCTCTAACAAGATATATAAGTTCGATGTTCTTCATAATAGCCATCAGAATGTCATGGTTGTACCGGATATAAGGAAGCTACCGTGGGTACTTGGTAGCTGAACCACCAAACATTTACCAACACTTTTTTCTCTGTTTTGGACACTGTTTGGGCTTGTCGCCAGAATTGAACCACCGCGTTAATCATTTGCGATTATCATAAAAAAACCATTTTTCACCATAACTAATGATGTGATCTAAGAGTTATTCTTCTCGGTGTTGTTTCATTAATAGATGTGCAAGCTTTAATGTGGGTTGTTCCTCAATTTTTCTAGTTTTTTAATTTGACCGATTTGGGTAACTGAGTTTTGCAGAAATGTTTAGATCAAACTATGCTGTTAATTCTTTAGTAGATTGTGATAAATTGACTTCACCAATAGCTCGCAACTCGTCACTATTCACCGAATTTCAGCAGTATCACTTAATAATATCACAGCAATGCAAAATCAACCGCAACGAAAAAGTTAACATTTTAAATGTACGAGTCGAATTTATTTGAAAAATAAATAAATTTTGGTGATCTGTATCTTACACTAAACGTACCTTATTTAATTTAACAGTGGCCAAAACTTTCAAACGGTAACTTTATACTTTAACAGGATTTTACAGAACTAAAGAGTCTCTCGGCAACAATTATATTCATCTGGAAAAACTTCAAAGATTCCGAAGTTAAGACATGGTTGGGACTAAAAATTCTATAATACAATAGTACAGTAATATTCTATGATAATCAATCCATATCAATGGTACTGTATGGTAGAGAGCATTGCAAAGAGAGCGTTGAAAAGTTTTTTCTGCATTAAAGTCTATTTAATGCAGGCCAAGTTTATAAAGTGCAAGTGGGATACAGTTAACAGGTAACCCTGCCGTAAATAAAAAATCCGATTTGTCTAGCCGAATTATTTAATGGTCACTTTGTTGGATAATTTCCTCTTTAATCTCTATAGAAAAAACTACATTCGTTCAGTTCTACGTCCAAGAAAATAAAATATAGTTCCAAATACCCTGATAAACTCCTTTGTATTTGTAACTAAAACGGCAGTGTATATGTATTCGTAGTGACACTTTGTTCAGTCAGTACTTTGTACAAAGGTTTTTCAACCGTATTTTTTACTTTGTGTCTCACACCAAGGGGAACTCCAAGCTGTACCGAACAATTGATCAGTTATGCTGAAATGGAGAGCTTTTGTATTGTGTCAGAGTTATTTTGCTTTCTTTATTCACCTTAACGAGTTTTGTTTTAGAGTTAACTTTACAAATTGTTGTTACGCTTTAATAATTTTGAAAGGAATTTTAATTCTTGCAGTTTATTTACAAATTGAAACCCAAACTCAAATAATAATATTTATTACATTGGCAAGGAAATTACTCTTCAAATCAAAGTTGTATTGATTAAAGTCTACTGCTTATTCGTAAGGCAGATTCCCCTGACAATAATGAAAAAGATACTCTGGGGGTTGCTCTTTGTAAGTATACACTTGGATACATTTATCACAATATTATTTCAAACATCTTAGATCGAGAACACCTGCAAGAGTTGAACGGGTGAATTACCACGGATTTTTGTCATCCAAGTACACAGAATACCTATCCTGTCATGCAACACTCTTTTAGAAAACTATGAAGCTAGGTAATATAGGTCTCACCTGTAAAGCGCTGGGCCATGCACAGCTGGTATCACCAACAACTTCAACGGCCACAGGTTGATACTCCGCCAGCTCCGAGGCACAGGAACCCTGGGTGACTGAGGCCCCGTACTGGGCCACTTGGATGCTGATCGTTGTACCTCGTGGACAGATGAGAGTCACCATTTCTTCGTCACAAGCTGCTTTTTGATGTGTTCGAAGTGTGCCAAGTAGCAGTTCTGTTGACAAAGAAAGAACTGTTATTAACGTACATTTCTAAAATATTATTCGTATTTAAATTTATACTCATGGACATATTTAGAGGAACGCGCTATCTAGAGTGGTTCGTATAAACGTTTAATCCAAATCAAAAGGCGATATAAGCCATTGGTTCCGTTTACACCGTCACTCTGTCGCGCGTGATGCCGTACAGGATTGCGCGCGGGTGAGCACGTGCAATGGTGTGCGATTACCTGTTTGAAGTTTTTTAAACTAACGTTCTTTCGCGCGTGATTACTCGTGTTCGTTTTTGTTATAATGAAAAGCGTCCGTGTAAAGGCTAATCGCGCAGAATAGACCGCGTGTTGAAGTGCACGACACCTTCCAACATCTTTACACGCGCGATAGAGTGTTTGCGTAAAGCGCACTATTATTTTTTCAAATTAAACGTTCTGCAGGCCTGTAAAGGCCGTATTGGCAGAATCGTAATATATGTTCAATTGGCAAATATGAATTTTCAAATAAAACAAAAAAGTCAATTCATTTATTTGACTGCGGTCTCCATAGAACACTGTCAAATAGATGAATAGGTTTTTTCTTTTGTTTCAAAATGTGTTATACGAATTGTCAATTAATCATACTATGATTCTGCTAATGCGGCGTTTTTAGGCCCACTGACGCATAATTATGTGGCCAGTGACTCATATGAACACTGTTATCATAAATTTTACCTTTTAACGCTTTTATAAACATGCCCATGAAGTATATTTATATTTTAGTTTCTTGATTAGGTAAGCCTTGGAATGTTTATGCAAACCGTGAGGCTGTTAGGAATCCTCATCCAATGGATACTGTCAATCCTTACTCCATTGAATCAGTCATAATAATGACGAAGTCAAGGGTACGGAACTATGATAATGAGAACTAGATATAAGAAAAAAATATCCTACAACTTTCACATAAATTTTTTTGGTCTCGTCTCGATAAACAAAAAAATAAAATTTGAAAAAATTGTGATTAATGTATTATTACCCTGGGAGACGAAAACACGCATTTCCTTAACTTGATTTTAATATCTCACAAAAATAATCCATCAATTTAAAAATCGAAATCAATCCATTATTATTGAGAATTATTGAGCATTGTCCCATCGGCTTACGATTTCACATTGCCGAAAATAGTAACAGTAGTCAACCGTCGAATCAATATTTATAAAACATGAACTTTCTCACCTTTAAACATGCACTAAAACAGTTCAAAGCTCAATATAAGACTGTAATAAAAAAAACAGACATTTGTTAGTTTATTACGGCTACAGTTGACCACGCTATGGCGAGTTGTTGATAATCGTGTCTAATTCACCTTATGATATACATACATGATGATGTTTAGTGCAGTTAGTTATGTACCGGTACAAAGCATCATAATACGTGTTTTCAGGTAAAAACATCCGTTAATTCAAACACACAATTTCACTAGGTGACTTTAAGCAATTGTTTTCTTGACGAAGCCTACGTTGCGGATTAACAAATGTTAACTTTATATCTGAACTAACAAGGTAAACTTTAACTCCGCAGCGATCTGTAGAGCAATGAAATTATAATATCAAATAATGAAATAGGATGATAATCAACTTCTATACAACTCGAATAGCTTCTAGCTTGGACGGTAGTAGAAAGTACTGTAAACATGGTACGTGTGGAGAACAAACTCGAGCGGGAATCGAGTCAAAGGAAGTGCCTTTAATGGCAGCTAAAACGTGTCAGAAAAGGCGCTTCCAGCTGCTCACCGAGGCGTGTTGGTCGCAGCTCTCTACTCTATGTAGTGAGCTGCGACTCGTGTGGTAGTGAATATTGGATAACGTGGAAATAAGGCGAACGCTGTAGAAGTGAGAGTGTTACGAGTGTATGTAGTGTAACTTTTAGAGACTGAATGAGGAACATTGTATTAAAATAGCGCAATGATGTGAAAGTTGACGTGCTTCGACGTGTTAGTCATATGGAAAGGGTTTATGTTGTTAAAATCACGACATAAATTTATAGAGCGAATGCGGATGGAAAAGTTGATCTCGACCACGACGATGCAACCAAGTGAAGGCTGTTCTTAAAAAGATATAGTCAAAAGGTACGCGAGGGTGTGTGGAAACGTAAAAGATAAGTCATCTGTTTAGCGGGTGGGTGTCCGTAGTCTCTCTGTATCCCAGTAGTTTGATGTTGCTGTGTGATACCCAGCGGGTTTAAGTGAGTCAACACGTATTGTGTAGTAAGTGTGTAAAAAGCTATTTCTTCAAGAGATACTACAAGAGCCAGATAGTCCAGTTTGTAAACTACATGTTTGTAAACTACACTACACAGAGATGAAGATTGTATGTACTTGAAATCCAAAGTAAAAGTCTATCAAAATCTGTGAACAAATGGGGATATTAAATATGGTTATTAATCACTGGAATAATTGAAATAAAGGTTCTTAAAAATATATTTCTTGCATTGCTAGGGCATGACAAGTTTTAATTTCGTGTAATAACGATTCGCTACACATAAATGTATAAAGTCTCAATTTATTAGCCGAATACACGAGTTGTCTTCACGATTCGTCGTTTCAAACTAATCGAAACAACGAACGGTAATATGAATGAAATGTATGTGATTATGTCGTTAACGATTAACTTGAACGCTAGGGGGAGCGACTGATGGACACTATTATCGTGACGATCGATCGAAACGAGGAATCTTCTGACTATGGGGGTCCTTATTAGGGACATGTTCTGTATCTGTACAATGATATTACTTGTGTATTTGCTCTGATCCCAAAGGAAGTTAGTAAGACACTTGTGTTATGACGGTACCACAAACACTCAGACCCCGAGAAAATATAGAAAATTTAGTTTTGTTTTCCACATTGCCTCCCCAACCCAGGAATGAAACCAGTTCGTTAAAATATTTTTGATAGTATGATTTGTTACAGCAACGACTGACATTATTGACCGCAAAATAGCTATTTCATATATTTGGGTCAGGGGGTATCAACATTTAATTCGTCTGAAGATATTTTTTACGTTCATTTTAGACTTCTTTTGCAGATGCACCAATGAGTCAATAGAGTTCTTATTTGCGTCGTCATTGTATGACTATTTATCCTTTGAGTAGGTTTTACCCTAGTATTCTAGAAGTTAATTTATATCATACATGAGAGTGGTAAAGGGCGCGTTGTTTCCGACATCTAAAACATTTCTTTATTTTCAACACCTTCAACTTTAAGTAAAATTATTATATTTACTGTTTTATTACAAATTATACAACAATCTTTACAGAAAATTCAATTAATCTTTGAGTAGCCGCCCGACACGTAATTTATTGTAAGCAATTTTCACCAAAATTAACACAACAGTGTTTGTTTACATAACATTAAGTTGTAAACCTAATAAATTCTCTTTAATACCGCTGCATAAATCCCCGTGTTTACATTTTAAAGTTTACAACCATCTATAACCATCAGGACTATCGGGCCACACACTCCATGTGGTGTAATAAAACTAAGTCTGTAGGATAAAAATGTTTAGTATAAACATCTGTTCTATCTATAATGTTTATAATCCATTGTTGGGAAAATTAAACTTTGTTTGCAAACATAGTTTGAAACTTTTACGAAATATGCTGTGGGAGAGTGTTCCCATACAAATGAAATTTGATCTTATTAATTAATCAAACTCCATGATATTCAGTAGACAAGATCTAGAAACTGATGCCAAGGGTCTTGGTTGATCAGTTGCTCGTTAAATGACACAGTTTTAAAAATACCCTTGTTCAAAAACATATTATTCAAAACACATTATTTAAAACATCATTGAAAACTGTATCATAAAAAATATATCTACACATTTACTATATTATTGAAATGAAGTTGAAATATAAGAAGTCTGTAATGGTTAACAAGCCCGCCTCGCGCCTCAGAACCCTCCGGATAATTAAAAAAAATAGCTACGAGTACGTTCGGCGTTCAGAATGATGAAATAGTTTTGGTGGTCTTGTGCGGAATAATTTATACATAGGGAGGAATAACTTTGTGGTTAACGTGACAGTGTATTTCCATGCCATGTGTAGAGAATCTCTAACTTCCGAGACACAGATCTTTAACCTAATTTAAGGGTTGAAAGGGCCTTGAAATTTTTTGTGACTAATAGTGTAATTACGAGTATAATTATGAATACAAAGATCGAACTCACAGAAAAATTTTCGTCGACCCGGTGGGACTTGAAGTTGGACCCATGGCTCAGACGGTTAGAGCAATGCTACGGTGCAATATGGACGGATATTGAAGTCGCACCGACCGGGTCGACGAAAATTTATCTGTGTGTTCGATGTTTGTGTTATAATAACAACAAAACTAGTGGAGTTACTTAACAAAAAATCTTAATAGATAATAGTCTAATTTATTTTTGTACATGTACGATATCATCATCATCATCCACAGGCTGATTTCACCCACTGCTGGGTATAGGCCTCCCGAAGTTTGTGCCATTACTCACGGTCCCGTGCTAGTCGCATCTATTGACGCCCCGCGACGCGTACTATGTTGTCGTCTCACCTTGGAACAGGGCGCTCGACGCTTCTTTTGCCCATCCTAGGCCACCAATCAGTCGGCCACCAACCTTGCCTTGCTAAGTGTCCCGCCCAGCCCCATTTGAGTTCCATGAGCCGTACGACATAAATCAATTTACTATTCTATTGAATTAACAATTTTATATCTAGCTATAAAGATACCAACTACAGTAATAATCTGCACAAAAAGGAGCCTCCCCCCACGTCGTGCTATGGTACGTACTTTCCTATACATCTGGCGCACCCTGAGCAACAACCTTACACCAATTGGCAAAAATTTTCACCACGATGGTGAGCATTATAGTAAATGCTATCGATACGCTAAAAAGAATAATAATTTAATACTAAAAAGAAATGTTTTTATTTTTCAATTGATCGTATTTATTTGTGATATCCATTTTTTATTTAATTTCTTTTTTCACTCGGGTTTTTCTTATAATTGCATTAAAAAAAATATTTTCTTGTTTCTGTACCAGCCCGTATAATGCTTGGCACTTAGAGTACATCTCTTTTAAGGTACCGGCCTGCTTAGTAATGAGTCTCATTGTTTTAGGATGAATTACCACTTCTGAGAGGCGAATCCAAGAGGCACTCGAACAAAGGACAATAAGAGTGCTTTATTTTTAGCAACAGCTCATGTTTCAGTCTTATTTGAAAGAGCAAGATGTATTAAGTATTTTTTTATTATAGTCGATGGTCGGAATAGGGTGTTTCAAACGAGTAAAGAAATATCTACATATGGATACAAGGAATGATATGGAGTGGTTAAAACCACCAAATATTAATTAATTACTTTTTTCGAATTCCAGATTTCCGGAAATAGTTTTACTGCATCGTAGGATAAATCTATTGACCTAGAAAGTTGACGTTCAATTTTTGCGTGTTGCCAAAAAATCTGTTTACTTTGGTGAAAAGTTACATCACCTACTTACAACATTTTTTTACATGGCGCCCATTGACCTACTGGTCAATGATGGCACCACTAGAATTACTTTAAAACCCAACTTCAGTTTCCTAGGTGAGTACTAAAATAGGAAAAAAGGGGAGATATGTAATGACGCTATGTAAGATCGGGTACCTATGTCGCCACTTTTTAGCTTGTGTGCAATTCAAACTTTCCGCTCTATTATCTAAAAAAAAACGTGTACACGACGTAAAACAATTTTAAAATTTAACAAAATTAAACTTACAGTCACTTGAATAAGAGTTATATTACAATATTTCAGTTTTTTTTTCATCCTGGTTGCATGGCTGCATTCACCAATAGGTGGCTTTTTAGTAAAAATACGACTAGTATATAATAGCTAACTATTACACGTTAGATGGCGCTGAAACTCATTTTTCGTTACACTAAGAACTCACTGAGCGGTTTTCACCCGCGCGAAGATACATTAAAAAGTGAAACAATGCTGTCAAAAATATAACGTTAAAACAAAACAGTTCTCGTGGAATCGAACCACGGGTATTGTAACTGGCAGTCCATACAACAAGCCGCTCGACCAATTTACTTGGATATATTGTATAAGTAACACTCCACAGTATAGTTTATACAATAAAGTTGAAATTGCTTTAATTTTTTTTTAGTTCAATACGTAACATGGCTCTCAGAACCAAAAGGTCGGTTTGGTCATATTAGGGGGTCATGTATCTCATGTATATGACTGTACAATAAAATAATTTTCAGTACTGGAAATTAAAGGTAAATATAATTTTTAATTCAGGATTTTGAAGTTTACATAGGAATCCATCGTATTTACTCACCGTCAATCGTATTTATTCATTTTGGGTGTAAGGGAACGCATTATGTGTAGATGCCAATGTATACTGTGTTAAACCAAATAAACCCTTTTTTCAGTCTGTACATGGTGATATAAGAATAATGTTCAAAGTAGTAAATTAAACCAATTTCAACAAATATCCATCCAATTCTAAATAAGTTATTTGTAAACCATTTATCCAACTTAACTGCCACCGAACGATATTTGTATGGTCAGCATTTACTTCTCTCGTGAGTTTGGGCGTAATTTGGAGCTGTTTATGCGTGTAAGTGTGTGCATTATATTATTATTCATCCAACTGTACTTTAAAATTGAATTAAAGTACTTTAGAAGCAGTAGAGCTCACTGTTAAAGAGTTCGCCCAGTGAGGTACTGCGACCTTACCTATTTCTGCCGCCAAGCAATACAGTGAGGATTATTGAGTACCAGTTTTGAAGGGTTTGCTGGTGAAATTACTGGCACATAGGACTAGACAACTTATGTCTCAGGTTGACCCGTGCAGTGGCAGTGCTCTTCAGATCTTTGCGGTTTAAAGTACTGAGTGGCACTGAAACTGCAATGGACAGGCCATAACAATGTCGCTTCATACCAAGCGCACGACTTGTTCGTCTTATCACTCGGTACCATAAAAAAAACACATTTCTTTGACACACCGCATATTTGGCTTAGCAGTAAAAGAGGCCAAGTTAAGAGGTAGTCGCTTTAACAACGGGTCATTAAGGGGACGTCCTCTATTTATAGACGGGCTCGTATTTCAAACGCGACAAGAAGCGTAATCGGGCGCACGTGTCGTGTGCCGTGCTATGTTTGTGGAGCGATTTAAAAACTAAAGCGATGTACTTCTTTCTAAAATGTTATTGCCGCCTGTGCTCAAACCTTTGAATCGAGTGGACGTATTTTATAATTAAAAATTAATTATTTCAAGGTTAAGCGTGCTGGTGAAATTACAGGTACATAGGAATATTCAACTTATGTCTGAAGGTGACAGGCGCAGTGGTAGTGCCTCTCAGATCTTTGAGATTTAAAGATCAGAGCTGAACTACAACTGTAATGAACAGGCGCGTCGCTTATCACCAGGTACACAAATTGCTCGTCCTGTCACTTGGTATCATAAAAAAAATATTCACAGATAAAATAATTCTAAATCGAACCATGTAAATAACTTTTATACGCCATAATTGTAAATTTCGCCCATTAGTGTCGTAAGGGACCAATTAGGCTGCAACCTTTATCACAAATATCCAGAGATAACTTAAAGCACATTTTAAACTCTAGCCTGTATTTCAATTATGAAAGTGTACAAATCATCATTAATTTATGTAACAACTTATATACTTGCAGCATATTTCTACCAATTGACCCAAGGTCAGAGTTCTAACAAAAAAATCGTCATTTAGGATTATTCGATGACCACAAAATCGAATCATACAGTTTAAATTTAATAAAAGCATCACGTCACACAGCAAAAAACAATGCACTGTAAAATATAGACCAACTTTTATCACACGAAAGTTATAAAAATAATACGAGCTACATAAATTAAATTATGTATAACGCAAACAACTTTTTTTTTAATCGATGAAAACTAATTACTCACTTCCTGTGAAATATTATTAAAATTTATGTATGTTTATAACTCTCCTACTTAACCATAAAAAACTTATCGACCAATTTTATTCGTACAATCTTTAAACTGCTCTCCTGAAAAGTTATTGTTTTTGCAAATGCCACCTTATTACACAAAGGGTGTTTAGATAATTCGCTTTTTTTAAGCTAATGTATAAAGTTAGAGTGCTTTGTAAAATAGTCTATTGCAACCTAACAACAACTCTTGGAATATTAATCTCAAAATATACAAGAGCAATATAATTTGGGCCACAAAAGAGCATCTGTTCTATTGCGGCTAACATGCACTCCGTTTAAGGGGAGCACTCTCAAAATGAGCCGAATTTGATGAAGACACGGTTAGCAACGCATTAATCTTTGTCACAAACGGTTGCTACGGCGCGCGCTATGCTTGTCACATAAATGACACACTTTCGCGCAACGTGGATTAGGTGTGGACGTTTAAAAGGAATGGCAATTAAGAAATCCAATGTCTTATTTACATTTTTTATAAGTCATTAAGTTATCTTGTAGACATTGTTTAAAAGGTCCATTTTATAAGAAGTAGGACTTCGTACTCTTAGCATAATAAATCCACATGTCACATACGTCAAAAACTATACATTTATCACATGAAAGACATGAAAATAATAAATGAAACTAATTATGTATATCTATAGGGCTAGCACAACTGGATGCAACTTGCGCGAGATCTCTTGCGAGAACAGCAGTATCTCGCGCTTTATATCGCTCTCGCTCAAGTCCCGCCCTGTCCTAACCCTACTGACATTTGAAACTCTCCTATTTAAGAGTCTATACAACCTCAAGTGGCTTTGGTTGATTCCACATAACAGTGAAAGTGTTCAATCAATCACTTTGGAAAAAATATATAGTAAAATTGAGGATATACAACTGATTTAGTATACGGAGTGAAAACACGATTCCCAAAAATTTTCACGATAGAAAAAACCTCGAAATTTTACAAGAAAACCGCTGTATTCATTAAGTAATTTACCGATGATTTTTTTTTTATATCAACTAAACTGAAATAGAACGCGTATAGTGTACGAAATGCATTTTTCAAATGGCTTTAATTTCGTTTGTAAAAAAATAAATTCTGAAATAATCGACTTGCGCACTAGAATCGATTCAGTACAGGAAAAATTTGAATTCAAGCTGAAGTAGTATCGATTTTTAAGCATAAAAATATATCGACTGATTCCTTTCGTAGAACATTTAAGCCTCTCTCCAGAAAGTCTCACTCAGTCGAAATGATGACCTCTGTGGTGGAGTTTCTTGCACACCGGTTTTCATGGTATCGCCATCTCTGAGGTCCTGGATTCGATCCCCGGCCGGATTAGCTTAAAAAAAATTTATATACTGTTTCTGGTTTGTGGTACCGTCGTTGTTACCGATTTCCATAACACGAGTACTTCAGTTACTTACTTTGGGATCAGAACAACGTCTGTGATGCTATTTAATATTAACAACATAAAACAATATGTATGTGGCCTTATTACATACACCTAGAGTGTGATTTTCTCACGCGAATTGAAAAATTAGTCGTTATTTTGTTAGTTGTATGTACATATTATGATTTCATATTCTCATGACTAAATCCGATTTTAGTTAGGTAATAATACAAAATGACATATTAATGTAGTAAAACATTTTTAAACCTTACATTTTTTATTGGTTACTTCATTGGGTACTACAACATATATTATGACTAATAACGCCTTAGGAAATGAAACAATTTTTTTGGATCTAAAACGCGTAAGTATATTTGATTTTTCAAACAAACTCACGTTTCGCGTGCTTTATAGGTCCGTTTTAGAAATTCTCTGGAACTCCATAATAACACAATATTTAGTAAATATTATAAAATTACAAAATTTCCATAAATTATGTAGCACAACATTTTAATTTTATGAAATAACATTAATCTATTTAATTATACGCGCAAAATTATTACGTTAATAATGATTCATTTTTAAGGAAAAAAATATTTAGCCCATTGCTAGGATAAGTAATATTGCGACGTTTAGTTTTACAATGGCTTCGCTACAAACTCCACCAATGTAAGTAAATTAAATTCAATTATTTCTAATAAAATATTTTTTAATATTGGCTGTCGAGCTTTCTTAAAATTACGATGTAGGTGTGCTATTTTTATTATATCTAAAAACTGTAATTAGAGCAATTCTGTATATAGAACATAATTTTGGGAAATCAGTTTTAGTGCCTAGACTGATATTTAGATAGAACAAGTACTTTGAGTAGTCTAATTACTTGAGAAATTATTGGTTCTTCATGCGAAATTTCATCTCCTTCAATATTGCTTTTTGTCACAAAAAATTGAGTTTTATTTTTATATAATATCAAGTGACGGGACGAACGAGTGGTGCGACTGGTGGTAAGCTACACGCCTGTCCATTACACTTGCAATGCGACTTAGAGCTTTAAATAGCAAAGATCTGAAGGGCACTGCCCCTGCCCTCATCACTCTGAGACATAAGTTGACAAATCCCATGTGCCTGTAATTTCACCAGCTCCCTTACCCTTTTAAACTGGAACGCAATAATGCTAACATTACTGCTTGGTGACAGAAATAAGTAAGGCGGCAGTACTTCCCTGGACGAACTCTTTCACAAGAAGCTCTACCACTGTCCTTGTCCTGGGTCCCATCTATCTTAATACCAAAATTCGCCAAATTTGGTTTAGCGATTTAGGTATGAAAACGTAACAGACAGGGTTACTTTCGCATTTATAGTATTTAGTTTGAATAGTTTAGATTACAAGATAACGAAAGAGCGATCCAAACTGTTCTTCATTACAAGATTTAACCATAATTAACAAAACATTGAACAGCGCACTGTTCGTATACGGATTATTTTTAATAAGGTATTTTGTCTAATTTTCAGGAGGCCTGTGGCCCTCGTCCCTTCCCAAGCCTTTGAGATGCCTACAAAGGTTTTGGTCAGAGTTTTTGGATACATGAACATGGTCAGTATATATTTCCCAGAAAGACGTCACTGTTTCCCAGAACGCTTTCAAAAATCATCCTGTTTTCGTATAAGTATATAAAACATTTTTGTGAACTTTTCATTGGAACGAAATATTTAGTCAGTATTTAATTATATAGCAATTCAACATTACAATTATACAGTACAATTCAACGTGTTAATCGAGAAATATGCAACCGATTTTCCTTAAATAATACGTATTTAATTTTCCTTGTACAATCATAGCTGTCTAAATTTCCTTATATAATGACTGCTACATAAATGCCTTTAAAATTCGATCATTTTATTTACTTAAATAGTAATTTTAGTTAAGAGCAGCGAAAGTCTAGTAGAATAATGATTCATACCTTCGATTCCTACCAACAGGCTTAGGGAACATCTTTTAATTCACACTTTTTTATAACAACGAAGAAAATCATCGGGATGTAACCTGCATGACAGAAAAGATTCGCAAAATGGCCTCTAACATAATACAAATAAAATTGAAATGTAGTTTTTCAAGAGAGGTGATATACATTATCTTTCCATACTGCCGTCACTCTCGAAAACACTCACTTTAAAACAGTGTCGAAATTTAAATACTTGGGGCACTGGATCACCGGAGTCGCTAAAAGATGACAAGGACATAAAAAAGGAATGTAGGGCGCTAGCTGTAAGGAGTAATATGTTAATCCGTAGATTTGCGAGGTGTATAGCAGACGTGAAGGTGGTGATCTTGTTCTAAACTTATTGCCGATCGTTTTACACCTATAATCTATGAATGGCATGTACTCAAAAAGTATTCCGTGCTCCACGTGTCCAATACAATGCAATGTACAGTCGATGCTCTAAGATACCAAAATCCCTAACCGACCTTTTGGTTCTGAGAGCCTTCTTACGGAAAAATGTAAAGATATTCCAGCTTCTTATGTGAAATTCATATTTATGTCATTTTTTTTTTATAATATCAAGTGACGAACAAATAGTGCGCCTGATGGTAAGCTACATGCCTGTCTATAATAGTTGCAGTGCCACTCAGAGCTTTAAATCGTAAAGATCTGAGGCGCACTGCCACTGTGCCCGTAACTCTGAGACATAAGTTGACAATTCTCATGTGCCTGTAATTTCACCAGCACCTTTAACCCTTTAAAACCGAAACTCAATAATGCTGACATTACTGCTTGGCGGCGGAAATAGGTAACATGGCCGTACTTCCCTGGATGAACTCTCTCACAAGGAGCTCTACTACTACTAAAATCAAGTTCAAACGCCATCACTTAATTATGCAATAACGTAGTCATAACAAATGAATTTTACGACTTACACGTTAAATGTTAAGTTTGTTTAATACTGCTGAAATGAAATGAAATTTTATTTGCTTAAAACATGGTGAACGAAAGATGGAACGTAGTAGAATAGAACACCATATTTTACCTGATTAGGTATATAGTAGATATAATCAATCAATTAATAACAACGAAATAATAACTATCAATGTTAAACTATTAGACATTATACATTGTTTTTATATTATACATACATACACATTAAGCACAAAATTTCATATCAACATTTATCTAAAAAATCAGTCATTTTGGAATAATTTTTGTTTCTGCTATTTGGTAACGTTTTAATGTCTCTTGGTAGAGCATTATAAATTCGAACATACATACCATTGCATTGTTTTTTGTAATAAGACAATCTGAGTTTATTATTATACACCAGTCTATTTGGGTCCCATAAACCAGTACTATGTACAGGTATGTTTTGCTTAACGAACCATGCCACTTCGAAAATGTACTGTTAGGTTATAATCATAATCAGGTTGTATTTTGCATACTATGTTATATATCGTATCATACTCGAACAAATGTTTATTTAAATGTATCACTTTTGCAAACTGTTACATAGAATTTATCATACCCTTTCACAATAAATTCTAATCATATAGTTAA